GCAGTACGCGTCGTGACATTATACTTGGATCCTATCTAAAATTCACCTACCATGAAATAGAGCACAAAGAGGTTCTAGAGTAAACACCCAACACAGGGAGAAGAATTGCATTACTACTAAAGGGTTTAGAAACACATAATGGATTTATTGTGAAAACTTGTGCTTATACAAGAAATACAGAAAAGACAACATAGACACCTAAACGGCATGTCTGAAACATTGAAAGACTAAACTACGCCTAGGTAGTAAACATACGAAGACTTAGCGTGGCTCACAGCCATTCAGAAAGTCATGTACGGCGATTCCCGCGTACACATCAAAGACTGATGCGTCTGAACGTCACAAGTACAAACATAAGAAAAAGACACATTCTATTATATGAAATATAATAAGAACCCCCTGACAATTAAGAAAGACATTTGAAAACACCTTCGGAGTGTCTCCCGACCTCCGTAATGAAAAGACAAGCCAAGACAAGGCATTTTAATTAAAAACTCGGAAACGACAGAAGGCCAAAGACTATTGGTAAACACGTACGCATGTGCATCAACGCATCAGGAAATGTTAATCATTTTGTGATGTCATCTGTCAAACCGGTAAACCGGGCCATAGAAAGAAACACGCGAGATCATGCCAAGCTAAGAATAGCTATGTCGGCTAACTCCGCGTACGCATCAAACACTGATGTGTTTGAAAATGAAAGACGTGACACTACAAAATCTGTAGTGTTCACAGAGATAGACTACAAAATATACCACACGTTCATTAAATTTCATATTTGTAATTTGGACCGAAGTATCCCGCATTAAAACACATGTAAAACGTAGATAGGGGTTCCTGGAGTATATAAGGAGCGCGCTGGCAGGTTAAAAGGCAAGCAATTGTCCCCCATTGACCAGCTAGTTGCACTCCAAGTAGAGACTTAGGAGGTGGACAGTTGTAATCAATTAAAGGAGATTTCTTCGTGGTCAGAAAAGTACAGTGTGAACGAAGCCAGTGTGCTTGGGAGTCAACTTACTTGGAGACTTTTGAATAAGAGGTTTTAAAAACACAGTATCATTTAGACGAGACAGCGTACTCGTACCCTTAGTTTCGGAGCGTAGTGACATAATAAAAACTCATGGGAGTCATAAAAGTCAATTGAAGTCATGTTTTGTGTTAATAAAAGAAACTGTGATCAAAGAACTTTGCATTTAAGAGACCAAGTTCCCAGAAAGACATACTTTGTTCTATTGAACTATTCTAAACCACACCTTATAATAAAAACCCGTTTTGAGACGAAATCTCTTGAGACTTAAAACCTAAGAAGACAAAAGTGGTATTTC